CTGTTTTTTCCCCCTCTTCCTTTCTCCCTTTTCTTTTCCTCATTCAAGTCTGTCAAATACTTATGGACATTATAGGTGTTACTTTAGTCCACTGTCTCATTCAGCTATGGGCATTAGAGCTAGAAAAAAAACAGAAGAAGAAGAAGAAGAAAAGCTGCAATGACATCATTAAAATTAGAGGCTGCGCTCATGTTTCGATAATTGACCAATTGTTTGTTTGTTTTTGCTTAATTTATCTGTCATTTTAAACAGTGTGACTGTGACACATTTAACCCCAAACTAAAACTGTCCAACACCTTCACACTCTTACTGAAACTTCACCAGGACTCACTGAAAGCTACATTTGTCAGGTGGTCCAAATTAGGAGCAAATCCTCCGAGCAGCAGTTTATGGATTCTTACAGGAAATCGCTGTAGCAGACCCAGAATGTGCTGAATCTGGCGCTGCTAATTAAATACATGTCCCAACTTCAGTTGCAGCTCCGCAGGAGCCGCTTAAACTCCTCTTCCTCCTCAGCAGTTCCTGTGAATTTGAGTCACCCTGATGACTCAAATTCAAAGGAACTGCTGACCACCCCTCCTCACCATCTTCCCATAAAGACCCATGTGTTTTTGTTCTCGTGCTTGTTACAGCAAAATGCTTTGGAGGGTGTGCTTTCTCTGTGCTAACATAAGAGGTAACCACCATGATAATAAACAATAAAATATTGATATGTTAATAATAAATAAACAGAATTACACGAATCCCATTTTTACTTGTTTTCATTCGTCCTTTTCTTTGTTACTGCTGTGTTGATTTGCACTAGTTTTTGTGGGAAATGTGTTACGGCTTAAAGAAAGTACACTTTCCAAAGTGTTGAAGTGGAACGGTGTTATAGTGGTTAACGCTGTGACCTCACAGCAGGTTTGAACCCTGGCCTTTCTGAGTGGAGTCCTCCCTGAGCCTGCCAACTGCGAGGTTCCTCCCACAGTCCACAGATGAACATGTTGGTTTAATTGGTGATTCTAAATTGGCTGTGGATGAGGGTTAAATGAGGGGCTTGAAGTATATAGGGTAAAGTATGAATGTATGCCTAAATGTGACTTATATAAGGCACTTTGAGTGGTCAATATAATGAACAGATGACCAATAACACATGACATATTACATGGCGTCATTGTTTATTTAGCAAAAATGCAGAAGCAGAAATACTGAGTACACCCTGTGATTCAATAGCTTGTAGAACCACATAATACACAGTAATAACTTGAAGTAATCATTTTCTGTGTGACTTTATCAGTCTCTTACATAGTTGTGGAGAAATTTTGGCCCACTCTTGAGGTTTGTCACATTCATTTAAGCACAGCTCTCTTTTAAGATCCCATCACAACATTTCAGTTGGGTTGAGCTCTGGACTTTGCAGCACCTTGATTCTTGTAGATTTGCTGCTGGGATCATGTGAAGGACCTAATTTCAGCCAAGCTTTATCTGTCAGACAGAGGAGTTCAAACCCAAACTCTCTCCCCTCCACCCCAAACACCTCATACCAACTGCTTGACATATCAGGTGTTTGTGCTGATATGCTGTGTTTGGTTTTCTCCAACTCAAGGGTTGTGCATTATGGCTAAACATCTTCACTACTCTCTCCTCTGTCCAAAGGACATTGTCCCAAAAGTCTTTTGGTTTGTAGTTTTGCAAACCAAAGGACTTTAACATTTAACATGAGCCCTGTCGAGTCTGAGCAGTATAGCCTGCTATTTACCCTCTTAGTTGTAATCTGATGTGTTTGATATTTCCACATTGTTTACGCATTTTGGCTTTGGTTTTGTTAAAGAAACCATGACAGGTTTTGGACTTGGTAGCTGGGGACTGGCCCACCAGGGCCTGGCCACTGCTCAGCACACAATCGACCCCCACAGTGCCTCCTGTGGGTGGTGGGCCTGCAGGAGGTTGGGCCTATGTCCCTTTTTCGTGCTGTGCCCGGCTGGGCCCCATGGACTAAGGCTCGGCCCCCAGACACTCATCCTCGGGGACCCTCCCCGGCCCTGGCTTCAGGGCGAGGCCCTGGTAACCCTATCCCAGGCAGGGTGAACTGTTCCCTTGGTTTTCTACTCATAGAACACCAAGTCTTCTGAATCGCTCATTGTCTGGTACCTGACCCAGGACCAGTTTTCCGGGGGACCAGAAGCCCCCCGGAAAACATAGCCCCTGGGATCCCTGGGAGACACAAACCCCTCCACCAGGATAAAGTAGGGATTTGCGGAGGCGCGTTTGGTGTTGCCCCTCGACAAGCTGGAATAGGTGGGTGGGGAGAGAGAGGTCTGGGTGTCTCTGCTTAGGCTGCTGCCCCCGTAACCTGGCCCTGGATAAGCGGAATAGGATGGATGGATGGATAATGACAAGTTGTAATATGTCATATATTGTTGTTCATGTGAGACTGTATATAACTACTTTTGAATGTATGTGCAACTTTTACTGCATTCTATCAAATAGTTTTTCAGGTATTTCACATGGACCAAAATGTTGACCCTCAAAGCGACACCACCATCCCTCTGCAAATGCAAAAGATCAAATACACCATTTATACCTATGTATTCACTTTGCTCGATGTGGAAGCTAACTGCACGTTGCTGAAAGGCTTCACTCTGTTTTCTCCACATAGATTCAGAGTGCTGTGGTCTCAAACTCTGGCACAGGCTGAGTCCTTTCGGGGTCAGTGCTGCATGAAAACCGTGAAACATGTTGTTTTTACCCCTCTGGAAGCTGCAAAAAGTAACCAGCTCAAATTCCGCCTCCTTTTGCCAAAAGCATATTAAGACCTCTTCCCTTATCAACTAAACGCTACCAGCAAAGGATTACATGGGAAAAGAGGATTACTGTCAGAGTCTTGCTTGAGTGGAGGCCTGATATTAGAAGATGCTATCTGGATGGAGAAAATTACTTCACCTTGGAAGCAGATAATCACAGAGGAGGGAGACGAAAATCCGTGTATGTGTGCGTGCCCATCTGACTTCCTTGCATCACATTGCACGTCCGTGTTTGCCTTTCTTTGAGGCTCTGTCTTTGTAGGCAGCAGCGTTTTTGTATAACGAAGCTTGAGGACAGCTTAGGTTCAGCTGCAGCAATGCATTCTGGGGACATTTGCTTCTTTTGACTGCAGCCCCTCTGAACTTTCTGTGGTTTTGCCTTGGAGAGTTTCCCCCAACAATGTTATGCAACATCCTAAACACTCCTCCGTTCATCACTCCCCTCACGCTGGTTTTGTCACTTGTTTTTCAGCTCCATTTTTCTCTTATTTGTGCTGGACTAACATCACATATTTTCCTCTGCATGTCTCCTCCACCCACGGCTCCTCCTCTCACACACACACACACACACCCACCCACCCACCGCAGTTTCTAATTGGGCTTCATTACCATTTCCTTTCAGTTTTTCCCAGCAGGACTCTCTGACCAGGAGGAACAGCTTTCACTGGTCACACATATACGAACATCACCGTCGTCGTCATCATCATCATCATCAGAAGCAGCAGAACTTCAAGACTTCAGTGCATCATCTGGTAAAGTTTTGAATCTTTCCTACAATTAAACAATGAAAGCTGCTTATCAGTGCTTTCATTTCACAGCAAAAAGCTCTTTTTCTCCACATATTGCGTCGTGTACTGCGCAGCTACAACTATGAGAGAGAATTACGCAGTAAAAATGCCCAAGTATCAAAAGAAGAAGTACACAGCTGCTACACAGTAGAATATAACACAGTTTTTATGTTGCTGTGTTTACAGTACTGGATTATTATCACAGAAAGGAGGTTTTCTTTATGCCTCAGCTTTGTTTAAATCATCACAGACTGAATCTGGAGCTGTCTGACACTGTAGTACAGTAAAAATAAAACTATGACAATAACAATGGCAACATGCTGAATGAGTATAAATTAAATAACTAGAATTTGTGTCTACTGTCTCTACCTAGTTACAGTACTTCCCACTACGAGAGAGTCATAATAAAGCAGGCAGCTTTGCCTTTAACAGCCTGATACTGAGTTACAGTAAATGTGGATAACATCATCAAACTCCAGCTGGCCTGAAGGCAACGTGCCAGACTTTTTACCGAATGGCTGTGGTGCTGCAATAAAACCATTAAACTGCTCTGAAATGTTCATCTGAACCACCCAGGTAGCAAAACTTAAGTTTCCATCAGAGCTTCAGAGCAGTGAAGTGGATTGGATGGAAAAAAAATGCTGATTGGATTTAAAAAAGTACAAAAACAAAGCGGTTACAGTGCTGCTTTGGATAGTGTCTGCATGAAAAAAGGAAAAGATGGTAAGTCAGAGGACTGAGCGATCCTCTCCAGTGAACCTTGTGGTTCACATATTAGTGGCCTATAAACAGCAGATTGAGTTTTTCGTGCTTTTATTGAAACCATAAATGTTTCTAATCATCTGAGGGCTACTGAGGAGTGGCTGCAGACATCTGCTCAGACTCTCCAGTATTTGTTCTCATGTCTGCTCTCTATTTCTGCCAAGAATGCAGAAATGTAACTCATGTAACTCAGTATCCCTCCTCCTCCTCCTTTTTTTTTTATTTTTTTTTTACAGTTTCTCTCTCTTGACTTTCTGCTTTTATCCCCCCTCGTCCTTCTTTCTGCCCTCTTCTCTCTGTTCCTGCAGCTGTTGTGGAGGTAACTTCCCATTAGGAGACCGACAAGACCCGACTTTTCTCATTATTGTCACACACCGCAAACTGCAGGTTTTCATTACTAAACCTGCTTTCAGACAGCTGTTAGCTTTCCTCCTCCTCCTGCTCTCAGGCAGAGGATCCAACAGTGCAGCTTTTTATCTCCTCTTCTTCTTTAATTGGATCCTGGATGAGAGAAAACCTGGCAGGAAAAGAAAGATAAAGCCTTTGAAGTGCTGCAGGACAAATATATATTTTTTAAAAACATTCCACACTTTATACAGAGTAGTTAGCAGAGATTAGCACTTTGATAACCTGAGTGTCTGGGCAGAGTCGTCTGAGGGCCGAGGCCGCTTGCGTTCAGGGACGGGCAGGAAGCAGAGGGAGAGAAAGAGAGAATTTGAGTGTTAGGTGTGACTGTAAGTTGTTTCTGAGTAGGCCAGCTGGTATTCAGCGTGTCAACAAACTTTTATATGAAACATCTGTTTAGAATATTAATGTTTTGATTTGTAGAGCTCACTAATCTTTGCTAAACGAGTAGTTGAAGATGTTTTTTTCCACCTCCTGAGCTGGAAATTGTCTATGATGCCCATCATATCGCAGCCTGTGTCATACAAACGACCTGTTTAGAAATGGCTGTTATGTAAATGCAAAGAGTCAAAGAGTTAAAATGACTTCCCTCTGGTCCGGTCTAATCTCCCTGCACCCTGCATGCTCATGTGGCTTTTTTGCACCGTATACATAAACATGCTCAATTAAGTGTTTTAATATTTTGTTATACAGCTGTGACTTTGTTTTCTGTCGTACATATGGGAACAAAAAAAATGTACTTTCTGATCAAACATGATATTTAGTTTGTTTGATAATCAGGTCCAACAAATCCCAAAGGGATTATTTTTATGATTGGAGCGCTGCCCGAAGCGAATTCAGTGAAGCCCTCACCATCTTTACTCTAAATCTAAGACGCTGACATGTTGTCCATAAATCAAACTGTGAGGTGGTGAGTGGCAAAATATTATACTTTTTAACAAAAGCCTCTGTTTTGCATTATTGTTTATAATACTCAAGGTCATTGCATTATATTGTTATTGAAGAAGATAGGGTGAAATAAGTTTGGAGCATGTAAATTACGTGTTCTATAGAGATATTCATGGAAACCTGATGTCTTTTACTTTTACTCTGTTTACAATTTGTTTTGTTGTTATTTGAGTTTTGTGACTGATATAAAACTGTCAATCAATCAGTTAGGTTGAGTTTTAAACGAGAGCTTCCACTCCGTAGAGGATGAGACTGTTTGAATCTACTTGACATATTTCTGTAAGTCTCTGTCAGAGCCTGTCTGACGAAAAAACTAATACATTTTTACTGTAAGGGCATAAATCGTGTGTAAATCACCCATTTGGTGTTTATGTATGCTGCAGTTTCCAGAAATTACATGCGCTCTTCATCCCTCTGTTATTTTCATAATGTTTTGTTTTATTTTAGTGGGAGTTGTGGTTTTCTTTTGTTTAGTCAGGTCAATATTTCCCATTGTCTGTAATGCAGTGTTGCTCGTGCACAGATCTGTTTGTGCTTGTTCATCTGTTTTTTTTCCATTTCTCGTTTTCTCTCAGCCTTGAGACTGCAATGACCTCACTCAGACTCTTGTCCCTGTTCCCCTCCCTCCTCGTCCTACAAGTCCATCTTTCCAACCAGTTAGAGGACAATAAGATCCCCCCCAGTCTGTGTACTGGCCACCCTGGTATCCCAGGCTCTCCTGGGGTTCATGGCAGTCCTGGTCAGCCAGGGAGAGATGGGAGGGATGGGAGGGATGCTGCTCCTGGGGAAAAGGGGGAGAGAGGGGAGAGAGGGGCCCCAGGTACGTACTTATATGGATTTGTTTGTGAGCATGTGATAAATCGGTGCAGGATTCTCATATTTGTGCACCTCCTCCTCCTCTCCAGGTGAGACAGGAGTGCGAGGCCTGACTGGAGACAGGGGTGACCCTGGAGAAAAGGGGGAAAGGGGGCAGCCGGGCGAGTGTGCAGTGGCTCCTAAATCCGCCTTCAGTGTCAAACTCTCTCAGGGCCAAACCTCGCCCCTGAATGTGGGCGACGCAGTCCGCTTTGACACCATCCTGATCAATGAACAGGGCGACTACAACTCAGAGACGGGACGCTTCACCTGCAAAGTCCCTGGAGTCTACTACTTTGCCGTCCACGCCACGGTGTACCGCGCCAGCCTGCAGTTCGACCTGATGAAGAACGGACACGCTGTGGCTTCTTATTTTCAGTTTTATGGCAACTGGCCTAAACCAGCATCTCTTTCAGGCGGCTCCCTGCTTCACCTCATCCCCGGCGATCAGGTGTGGGTGCAGATGGCTCTCTCAGAGTACAATGGATTTTACTCCAGCACCAAGACAGACAGCAGCTTCACCGGCTTCTTGGTGTACTCGGACTGGAAAAACTCTGCTGTGTTTGCCTGACATGTGCCGCTTTTATTTCCTTACTGAGACATTCTGGACAGACAAGTGAATCATCCGTGACACGATACAGCTGTATTTGTGTAATAAATAAAGAACACACCAGGCAATGTAACCCGAATAGCACATGGTGTACTGAGGCGCACACAATGAACGGTACAGTTTACTCTGTGTCTGTTCTGCACTTTCAGCTTTTAAACTGCTGACAGTTAATTCTTCTAACAGATGTCAGGCCACAAATTCTCAAACAGCCTTTATGCCACTGTTCTATTGCATTTTGTTTTAGTGTCTACAGCTCTAACGCGAGACATTAATACATTTTTAGACTTTTGAAAACACACTAGACTGAAGTATGTCTCTGGCCATGAATGAAAGTGGATCAGGCATTAGGCTGGAGCTGCACAGTTAACTCCAAACAGGAAAGTCGAGACTCTTTCTGATAACATCCCTGCCTGATTTTAAGAGGGAAAAGAACTCAAATACTTCACTGAAGACAAAGTGCAAATGGAAAACAGTAAAACTACCCCTGATACTGCTACTTAAAAAAAGCAATGCATGAGAATGATTTGAAAAATATACTCTTATAAATGTGTTAAAAGCCCTCGTTCTGCTGTGGATGTAATCTAGTGTAAGATAATAGGGCTAGTAATAATTATAAATGAATGGAAAATCTGGAACCTGTTTTAACTACTTTATTTACAGTCTATTCCCTCATTAATAGTTGCAAATAAATGTATGAGGTTGTGGGATGTTTCAAGAAGGTCAAAAATACAAAATAAAAGTTTTTTGGGTTTAGTATTCTTAACACAAGTAAACACAAAATGCTGTTTGAAAACGAAGATGTTTATTATAAAGAGGGGAAAAAATTCAGACCATCATGGCCCTGCGTGAAAAAGTGATTGCCCCCTAAACCTAATGACTGGTTGGGCCACTCTTAGCAGCAACAACTGCAATCAAGCATTTGTCATAGCTGGCAGTGAGTGTTTTTCAGCGCTGTGCATTTTGAGCCACTCATCTTTGTAGAGCTATGGTCATACAGCCACTTTAGAGGGTTTTCGAGCATTAACCGCATTTTTAAGGTCATGCCACAGCTTCTCAGTTGGATTCAGGTCAGGACTTTGACTAGGCCACAAGTCAAAGTTTTCATTTTGATTTTCATAAGCCATTCAGAGGTGAACTTGCTGGTGTGTTTTGAATCAATGTCCTGCTGCAGAACTCAAGTGTGCTTCAGTTTGAGGTCAGGAACAGACAGCTGGACACTCTCCATCAGAATGTTTTGGTAGACAGCAGAATTCATGGTTGCATTTACCACAGCAAGTCTTCCAGGTCCTGAGGCAGCAAAACAGCTGCAGAACATCACACTGACACCACCATATTTTACTGTTGGTATGATGTTCGTTTTATACCAGATGTAATGGGACACAAACCTTCCAAAAAGTTACAATTTTGTCTTCCACAGAGTATTTTCCCAAACATCTGAAGGGATAATCAAGATGTTTTCTAGCAAAACTGAGACGAGCCTTTATCTTCCTTCAGCGTTGGAAATCTGCCCAGTCTCTTTCTCATAGTGGAGTCATGAACACTGACTATAACTGAGGCAAGTGAGGCCTGCAATCCTTCAAATGTTGATCTGGGGTCTTTTGTGACCTCTTGGATGAGTCGTTGCTGTGCTCTCAGTGTAATTTTGGTCGGCCTGCCACTCCTGGGAGGCTCTGACTGTGGTTTGCTGGAGTCTCACAGCTTTAAAAATGACTTTACAACCCTTTCAGACTGAGAGATCGCAGTTACTTTGTTTCTCATTTGTTCGCAAATTTCCTTGAATCACAGCATGGCGTCTGGCTTTTGAGAATCTTGAAGTCTACTTCATTTCGCCAGGCGGGTCCTATTTAAGCAATTTCTTGTTTAAGAAAAGGTGTGGCAGGATGTGGCTATAGAAATTGAACATAACTTTCCAAAGATGCGATACATACCACTTCATTTAGAAACTACATTTTGGGTTTACTTGTGTTGTCTTTGTCTAATATTTAAATGTGTTTGATGATCTGATACATTTAAGGGTGACAAACATACAAAAAAAAGGAAATCAGGAGGGGGCAAACACTTTTTTTTCACACGACTGTATATTTAAATTTAATGCATTTAATGTAACATCTTAATCTGAAAAGTAAAAACCAAATGTACTGAAGTCAAAATGTAGTGTTTCTCTAGTGTAAAGTTGCATAAAGTGCTTTCACATGGCATTTCTATGAATAATGCCCAAGTCCTTTGCTTTAATTCCCAAAGGCAGAAAACTGCTAAAGTAAATACCCAAATGAAAAAGGCTGGAAAATATTCATTTTCCACTGGATTCATGCTAGGTACCTCTGCCTAATGAGTTCACCAAACGCTCTAAGTACCCTGACAGATACACTACGAGCTGGTTGATGTTAGTCAGCATCCCTCTCTCCTCCCAACAATAATCGTGGGTGTGAATTAATCTCATGGTTTACTCAGATGAGCCGCTCCCTCTGTTTCTTGAGATCTGGGGCTGAACTGTTTATTTTCTCGAATAAACTCCGACAAGACCAGAGTTCGAGAAAGCCTTGTTAGATACACTCAGACATGATGAAATGCTATTCTCTTATTTCTCTGTCAAACCCCTGCACAATATTAAGCTCCAGATGGGTCCTTCTAACTATTCCCGCTCGGGGAGGGAGAAGGATGCAATGAGTTAATAAGTTTTCCCTTGGCGTACGTCAGTTATTTCCATTAGTTCACAGCCTTCATCGCTATGTTGAGGCTTAGAATTGATGGTAAAGCAGACAGTGACATCACTCACTAAAATACAGACTGGGCACTTCAGAAAAAGAAGATGAGAGTCTGACATTTGGATTAAGATGTAGCTGCAGATAAAGAAGCTACAAATCAAAGCACCCAAGAAGAAAGAAAAGATCTAAAATTAATCTTTGTCTGATTTTATTTGTTCATTGAAGTAAGGTCATGATTTACTCTTCCTCATCAGTAGAAGCAGGACTGAATACACGTGTAGGAGGGAGGTGTAAAAGCAAAGAAGAGTAGAGGTAGGGAAGGTGGATGAGTTTAAATACCTGGTTTCAACCATTCAAAGCAATGACAGAGCACAGGAGAGGTAAAGAAGAGAGTGCAGGCAGGATGGAGCAGGTGGAGACTAGAGTCACAAGTAATTTGTAACAGAGAAATAGCAGCAAGAGTAAAAGAGAAGGTTTACAAGATGGTGCATGATTTGGAGACGGTGGCACTAACAAAAAGACAGGAGACTGAGAAGGAGGTGGCAGAGCTGAAGATGTGACCACAACACACAGAGTGCAGGGACAGCTCAAGTGTAACAATTTGGAGACAATTAGAGAGGCAAGACTGAGACAGTTTGGACATGTGGAAAAAAGAGACAGCAGATGTATTGGACAAAGGATGTTGAAGATGGAGCTACTTGGCAGGAGGAAAAGAAAAGGACAGAAGAGGATGTTGCATCTGCTGTGGCAACCCCTAAAGAGAGCAGCTGAAAAAAGAAGAAGAAAAAGAAGAAACGAGTAACATAATTTTAGATTATATTATGCTACACTTTCAGTTTTGTCTTCTTACCCTCTTTTGTCCTATCCCCCTGATTACCCCCGTGTGTATTTATAGCCCTGCCATTCTTTTGCTCAAAGCTGCATATTTTGTCTAGAGCTGATGGAAACACTTCATCCAGCAGGGGGCAGTGTTGCACCGCTATTCAGCACCACTGCCTGCAAACTTCATAGTGTTGTTACTTCACAGTGTCTGGGCAGGACTCATGATTTCAGCCAGCAGTATTGACACTCCTGAGGTGCCTTTATGATGTGTTCAATAGAAGCTGCTGATGTTAAAATAGATCCACGCTGCACAGGAATGAACATTTTATTAGTTCAGTTTGTGACCCAGTAGCTACTCTCCATCATGTCACAAAGGGACTCCCTTAGTTACTAAACATTTCTTCTCATTTTAACAGAATGCACACTTGACAAGCTAGACAAGAGAAACAAGATACTTTATTTCCTGCTCCTGAAACACAAAAACACAATTAGAAACAATGAAATATTTTAAAATTGTAAACATCAGATTATTTAAGACAAAAACACTTGCATGCATGCATACAAATGTATCTATATTGATAGACGGGATCTATATTAGAGTAACTGTTATCATAAAACAAACCCACATCTGTGAAGCAGCTCAGACGTACTTTAGACAGATCAATACGTGAACCTCGCCGATTCACTCTGCGCTCTTCTCTGTTCATTATGAATGTATGAAAGCTGGTGTAACATTAGGACTCACTGTGAAAATGTGTGAGTACTAAATGGAGTTTTGAACTGGCTGCATGTCAGCATGTAGGCTGAATGATGATTCAACCGCCAGGAGAACTTCATATTTTCACCTGATAACATCCAGGAGTTTAATCAGAATCAGAATCAGAATACTTTATTAATCCCGAAGGAAATTAGGGTGCAATTTATGAGTTTAAATTGCACCGGTGCTTCTCAAAAGTCTGCTGTCATGCTTCCTGTCATGGTGCAGTCTGTCTACCTTGTAAAGACATTTAGAATTTAAATCGTGTTGTAGAGATTTTCAACTGTAACTGTAGGAGTGAACCAGTGTTGTGTCTACACAATACAGAAAACTTAGCAAACAACCAGTTTTAAATTGTATCTTTAATCACGAATAGTATCTGAAAGTCATGCCCTCAAGAAATGAGAACTAAATCCAGCAAAGACCTGACACAGGATCTGAGAGCTGTATTTGACCCTTCGTTTGATCTACTATCTGCTCGATGAAGCCTCATCAGAAACGGTCTCAGTGGAAGGATAGTTGTCAAGAAGCGATTCTTAAGAAAGGGAAACAGGCAGAAAAGGTCTTGTCATGCTATCTTACACAAGAACTGCACTGAAAAATCAGTAGCAACGGGTCTGATGGAGTGATGAAACTTTCCAAATTTGAAAGTTTTGGTTCAAAGTGTCATCACTATGTGCAGAGGAGCTGAGGAGAGAGGTACAACAGTGAGTGTCTACAGCCACCTGTAGCCACACTGGAGGCTCTGTCGTGGTTTGGACATCATTTCAGCCGCCGGTCGTGGAAATGTCTGTGAGATTGTGACTCTCCATGCAAAACCATTTGACTGTCAATGGTTTCACACTTGAACAAAACAATGATCCCAAACACACTGCTAGTGCAGTGAAACACACACAGTGGAGCACAGTCATCCATGGATTGGCCTCCCCAGAGCTGAACTTCAAAATTATTGACGCAGTGTGGGATCATCTTGACAGATAACAGAACAAAACACAGCCAACATCCAAAGAAGAGCTTTGAATGTCCTTTAAGAAGCCTGGAGAACTACTCCTGAAGACTACTTATATAAATTACCAAAAAAAAAAAAAACTGTCTAAGAGAGTTCAGGCTGTGTTGAATAATGAAGACAATCACACCAGTCTGCTCAGTCTCACATACTGTTTCAATAAATCACTACATCTGTTTTCCCTTTCCCCAGCAACATGTTAAGAAATAAGGAGTGTCTCAAGACTTCTGTACAGTACTGTAATCAGATCTTTTATGTCCCTCTTGACCAGAAAGTTTCAATGGGCATAGAAATAACAAACGATTTGGGTGTGTCCCGTCAAAGGGACTTGTACAAACACTTGTACTTTTCTTCACGCTGACATTATGGCCTATTTTCTGTTGATTAGTGTTTTTTAAAAATAGAATCTGCGTTAAATTCACAGAGTCAGTGTTACAAATCATGGTCTGAATATTTCTTATAAGAACTACATTTAAATCAGCATCACTGCCTATTTTTGTTTTCAGTAGTCTTTCAGCCATAGCAAAAAGTAGCAAGTGCTTCTCTTTGGTTTAAAGCTCAAGGTATCACAGTACCACGAAGTATCAACAAAACTGCTGGATCTGCTACCATCCAGCTTCCTCCTTCAGTGGTTACCAGCTTCAGCCTCTGAGCTGCCCATACATCACACACTCTGTTTATTAAAGGCTAGTTGGATTCATTACAACAAATCTCTTAATTACAGTAGAGTGAGGGTTAGGATTGAGGCTGAGGCTAATGAGCTGCCCATTTCTTCCTTGTCTCTGCCACAGTGGCTCTAAACCTTTACCTAGATGGTGCTTAAAATCAGAAGAAGTAGAGCCTGAATGAGTCAAAGATGAGCGTGCTGGAGTTTGAGATTTTCCCACACTGCAAGACCACCGGGGTCAGAAGGAAGAGGTCAGATCCCCGGAGCATTTTGCTAGCCTCGGTTTACTTCTTCTTGCTCCTCTCCTGACATCAAACTTCCTCTCCTCTGTTAACACCACCCTCATTTGCAACAAACATAAACACTGCTGAGGCTGGGCTCACAGGTCAGGAGACAACAAATAGCACCCAGATTTGCTTTTGGTGTCTTACAGTCTGTTGAGGTTGGGGGTCAGGTAGCAACCTCACCTCTCTGTCATTTAAATAATAAGTCTTATTGTCTCCAGCTGAGCCAGAGCCAGAATGATTTAACAGCAACATAGTTTAAGTGCAAAAAGAAACATTAGAATTATATTTATGGAGGTCAAGGTGGACTTTAAAAATCTGAGCAGATGTTTAATATGGAGATATTTTTAGAGGGAACATTGGGAATGAGAATGAAGCCTCTGAAGCTGTAAGCCACAAGGCTCTGATGAATTGTAGTAGGATTATAGTAGCATTCCCAGCTGGCCATTAGGACCCCTTTCCCCCCTTAATCCTGCAGCCTTTCTGCAAGCTCCAGACACGCACCCTCATTCACAAAGCAGCTCCTTTATCTTCAGAATCAAAAGACGTGAAAGCTAAACTATCTCTGAACTGTTGCATCATCTTTGCTACCATAAGTAAAATAAATGTGTAACAAGTCTGTATTAGTTTATACATACCCTTCCTGTTAAAAGGAAGTTTTTCCTTCTCACTCTCGCCAAAGTGCTTGCTTAACGGGCTAATATGATTGTTTTGGTTTTCTCTGTTTTCTGGTACTGAATAGAATTTTCATATAGCGAGAGAAGTACAGGTGTGGGTATCAACAGTACTGCTGGCTGTGCTATTTAATGACAGCCACAGTGAACAACACTGCAACTCACTCAGCACTCAGTGCTGCATGTGACTCAGTCATCGATACTTTTATTATTTGCACCTGTGGTTATTCTTTTACGACATGTTTTATTTTATTTTTTTTAAACGCCTTTCCTGAGTGTGGCTGTTTCCTCTCATGTGCTGCACCTGAATCACAGCTACACTCATTTCCCCAAACCGCCCTTTGTGTCTGATATGTCACAACAGACGTGAATTATTTTTTTCTTGCAGGAAATAACAGTAACCGTCAAGCTTTTTTAGCCTGTCACATTTTCTTCAGCCAGTTTTGACCAACTTCATGGTCACAGTACTAAAACATGGAAGAACACAGGATGTTCATTCGCAATATTTATTTTCTTTTTAGTTTTAATATACTTTTTGCATCTGTGCTCACTTGGAAACATGTTTACAGAAACAGCATGAGGCATTCAACCAGAGGTGGTACCCTCCTTCCTGAGGCTGGATCTTCCCTCAAAACTCACCTGAAGGGAGATTTAGCCTATTTTAGAGCCTCAGTCCTGAAATGACCGATGTCATCAACTGTCCAGAGTTGCATCCTCTGCAGTTCACTTTGTACAGCTAGCAGATTTTGTGCCTTATGTAAAAAGAAATGTATTAAGATCGACGTCAGAGCAAGTTGTCTGTTTCACATTTGTAAATTTAAAAGCAAATCTCATCTTCTATTATTTATCTTACCTATTTGTTCTTTCAACGACTGTGGAATAAAAAAGCCTAATGAACAATACTTCAGGTATCAAGATATATCTTACACGACTGATCAGATCAGGCAATGTTTTTCAATCTTCTGTTGTAGCCTCAGTTTCCTGTTCTTAGCTGACAGGAGTGGCACCCAGTGTGGTCCTCTGCTGCTGTTGCTCATCTGCCTTGACATGTTGTGCATTCAGAGATGCTCCACAGGATACTACACACCTTTCACAGGATGCCTTCCTATCAGTTCAAAAGGGTCTGACCATTCTACTTCAACAAGACATTTTCACCCCGAGAAACTGCAGTTCACTGGACAATTTTCTGTAAATCCTAGAGATGGTTGTATGGAAAAACCTAAGACTGGCTGATCAGGGTCACCTAAAATGACCTTTTCCTCCATTCTGTTGCTCGTTTTGAACATGGTTGTCAAGATGCCTAAACGCACTGAGCTGCAGCCATGTGGTTGTCTATAGATATTTGCATTAATGAGGAGCTGAACTGGTGTACTTAATAATCAGTTTTCTATGAAACCACACATCTTTGCACAGCTGTTTGGACAAAGCATTTTAAGATGGTCTTAAAACTTCCTTTTGGTGTTCGATGCCATGCTATAGATTAATGAATTAATGGGTTGTTTAATAAAATCCTCTGCAGGTAAAATCGTACAAAAACATTCACTTGGATGAAGGAAGATGAAGAGCTTCAGTTTCAGGGATTGTTATTTTATTACAAACACAAGACAGTCACATGGCAATTTAAAAAACATAACACACATTCATGTCGTTAACTCACAGTCCTTCACTGCTCACACAGTTCATACATTCAGCAATCAGCATGTGTTTCTACCCACTGCAATCTTTAGTTAGGACTGCCATTGGTGCTTTAGAAATACCTGAGAGCGGTCTATTCTGACTACAGGTTCTAGAATCATGAATAATCTTCCAAATTGACACCGAGACCGCTTTCACCTGCAGTAGAAAACATGACATCATCAGTATTTTCCATTACACAACTTCTCCATATCTGACTCTACACCACCCACCATCAATAACAACACAATAACTGGTGACAAAATATCGTCCTGTAAACTTTTAACATAAATCAATTTTAATATTTTAAATGAAACAGAAAAAAAGGGAGAAACAACCGCAAATTTAATTGCAAAATCCTTATTTGTTTATGGTCCTTTTATACCACAGAAATCAGTTTTACAGCAATGTCAAAAGAAAGGGAAAACCATTTATGGATTACTTGTCAGTTGTGACTGTAACTCACCTCTGGCAGAGGACAGGAAAGACCCTATCAGCTGGAAGAAATAAGATACAATAAATGGAATCAAGCCTGACTGGAAAGACAAAATGGTGAAGTGGTTCACAGAATCTGGTCTAAAGGGTGAAAGCTGCATTTATACATACAACATTCATGCGTACAGCATGTGGAATTATGTGTTCACTAATAAAGTAAAAGCACAGTGTTAGCTTCCTTCCTTCACAGCTTGGCCCACTGAAATCACAACAATTTAAGACATGAGTTGTAGAAAAGCTTCTTTTTTTTTTTTAGGCTCAATGTAGCGACACTGGAACACGAGAGATGCACTGAAGGTGAAATTTGGACCGATTTTACTTTAATTTAATACTCCATTTGTGCCAGGGAAACTTAAAACAAACAAACAAACAATTTTAAGAATATACCAGACCTCTTAACCACCTTGTTTTTGAGCATTCAGTTGACCAAACCTAAGAACTCTGAGTGGTCAAACGCACTGCATCTTAAAAGAAACCCACCAGTAAACTGAAAAATTCTGTAAAAGCACGCAAAACACAGCAGAAACTGAAACAACACTGTTAAAGGAAAAACTAAAGGGGAAAAAAACACACCAAAGAAAACTAAAGTGTTTTTGGGAAGACAATAACGTGACAGGACAGCTGTGGAAGTGACAAGCTAACAGTAAACAGCTAACAGCAAACATACATCTACAGTACTGTATGAATTGTGTGATTAAAACAATATATACTGCCTTGCATTGCTTCTCCTTTACAACGATAATGAATCTTTTGCTTCTGTCGAGTGTGTCTCAGTGCAATCCTTCACGTTTTGGTTTCTGTAACTTCCACAGCTGCTGCATCAAATAGTTGTTTCCCCAGAAACTAAAAACTTAATTTTTTTTTAGCTTTGGCAATGTTTTTTTCTATTTTTGTTGTATTTTTGCAGTCTTTTCTTTCTCTATTTGCTGATGTTTCTTTAGTTGCAGTCCGTTTGACCTCGCAGGGCCACTGTAGTTATCATCTTAAATGGGTAGCAGGCAATCAGCAAGGTTAACACTGGGAAACAGCTGATGCGAGGCTGATTAATCAGTGCATCCCTGTGGCAAACAGCAACAGACACAGCTTACTCTTAAATTAGAGACTTGCCCCCAAACTCAAGACTAACTCTAGGATTTGAGTATGGATTTACACTGGGAAGGCAAAAATTAAAGCAAAGCTCAAACACACACACACAGTTGCACACGTGACTGATATTTAAAGCATTGTAAGCATTGCATCCCTGAACAGAGATCATTCTGAAAATTGATTTTTTACACTTCTAGCTCCTTGGGTATAAAGTTTATATGATGCCTGAAGGAACGGAGTGGAAAATAATGCGTAGAATTAAGCAAGCAAGGCGTACCCACGCTGCTACCTCACCTAAACTAAGGAATATTCTCAGAAGTGAGAACAGAACTAATTCTGATATTTTCCAAGGCGTCATGTGAGAAAAAGAAGCTTGTGTTTACATTTTTGATGCAAAATGCACAAAGAGGTGCTTACAGCTGAAAAAACAAAACCTCTGGCTTTCTCTCAAAATGTATACAGCTGTATCACTTTTGTGATGCATCATGGCACAAATATTGTGCACATATAAATATGTTGACTTCTTGCATACTCACAGAAAATGTTTACCATGAGAACTTGTACATACTATGTGTTGTTTACATTTAGTGTATAGTATGGAATCAGGGCACAACATGTGCTGTTAACGTGTGCACGCATCTGACACCAGAAGACAACCTGGTGACTTTTTGTTTTCTTACTATCATTAAATCTCTCAATTCCCAAATAATCCAGAGCTATCCAGTATGTTTAACAAGTCTGGTCTGGTCTTTTCACTTAAGTCCCATTTAAGTGAAAAGACAAAAAAGAAACCTTATATAGTAAAGCTCAGTGGTGGTAAAACTTATACATGTAGATACTGATAGGCTGTGAGGCTACTTGGTATCAGACACCAGTTGATCCACTTTGGCTGGTCCCTCATAGATACACGTCCATGGTGTTGAGGATCATTTGCCGACAGAGCGGGCAGTTCTGCTGGTAGATGGGCTGCCTTAAAAGAATCTGTGTACAGTCTCTACACAAGCAGAGGTGTCTGCAAGGCAGCAGCACCACTGTCTTGGCACAATCCTGACAAATCACACACTTCTTCCTCTCCTCCTGTTCCTTCAGCAGAGTCAGCAGACTCTCAGCTGGCAGAGGTTTACCATCTTCGCCTGAACGTGACTTCTTCTTTAGCTGCTTGTCTGTGCTGGAGGAGGGTAAAACTGGATTGAGCACCTCCTGGTGGGCTCCATCTCCTGCTCTACCATCTGGTGGGTCCCGCCTCTCTTCCCCAGGGTCACCGTCACCTCCAGCTCTGTTGTTGCTGTTACTGTTTTGCCTGTGAAGATGTGGTCGGAGCATCAGGCCAATCAGGCCGCTTTGGTGAGACAACTGCTGCCAAAGTCGTCTCTCCAGTCGGTAGATGTGATAGAGGATCCTCTGCAGGTACTGCACGTTACGGCGTATAAAGTGAGGCAAGCACAGTAAGGCTGAAGTGATGCAATTGAGAGCCAAACATAATCTACGGAGAAGTGAAAAGGAGTTTATATATTCTACAACGCGCACAGCAATCTGTCGGGACAGTCCCGGGTTTAGGTAAGCGGTGGTGGCCAGTGCAATAGTAATGGTGAGCACGAGGCCGTAGATGTTCAGTATGAAGATGCTAATGAACATGTGCACCAGTGAAACCAGGAAGTCCAAAACCATCTTGCAGGGTGTCCATAGCAAAGCTGATGTGCCGGCCAGGCTGCTGTACAGAAAGGTGAAACAGGTCAACGTGAGCTCCAGCGCCTTCTGCAGTGGGGTGGAAACCGTCTGCCACATGCTGACCAACGCCAAGTAGACGTTCTGGGTAGCGATAAGCACAAAGTTTACCACTGTGTTGGTAAAATAGACCACCAGGCTGACTGCTATGCCACAGCCCTCAATCACTGACAGCAGCCCTCGACACAAGTGCTCCTTTCCACGCAGTAGGACGTGCATAGACAGGTAACCCACCATCTTCAAGCTCTCCAGGAGCCCCTCCAGAGCCAGCAACAAGCTCCCCAGATTAGCCACAGTGCTGTGAGCTAGGTTTGATGTCGCCTCCGCGGAGGACACAGCGCAAAGCAGAACGAGGTTTCCCAGCTCCAGCACCGAGTTATAAAGGAGGCTGGGCAGGCTGGTTATGAAGGTGATAACTGCCAGGAGAGTCTGCACCACGGTGTGGACGATGACAAAGTTCAGGTCCAGTAGTAAGCAGAGAGCATCCAGACATTTTCCTACAGTGGATATGACAAAGTTCACCAAACCCATGGTAATATTCCTGTAAAGTATTACTGTTTACCACTCGGTGCTCTCAGGTTGTATCCACGTTAAGTCCATTTCTCCTTTCTTTGCTTTGAGTTACATATTGTTGGTCCTCTCAATCAGCACACCATTCTTCGTGTCGTTGAACCTCAACGTCTTTATTTTTCATGTTTTCCCCATTTTTCATGCACTGAAATAACGACATAACACAGCAAACACGCGCTGCACAGGCGGATGTTTAGTTTCAAAAAAGGTCCACACACTTCCGTTTATATTCTAGGTTTCGTTTTGTTGGGTGTCCGGTCAAACTACCACCCAAAAACATTTCTCCGGCTCAACGACGACTTTATAAAACGGCCGAACCCATAAACGAAATCAAGAAAAACCGACGGAAAAACAGACAAAAGGTTTTGGAGTCTTTACCATCATTACTGTATCCGCCATATTTGTTTTGGTCGAGTGAGCTTACGTCTGTGCGTCGTTACGCTGAGCATGCGCACAGTGTCCCCGGTGTATTTTTTGTTGTTGTTTTTTTTTAATTAACAATTGAAACAATACAGTCACAAACAACATAACACATTATAGTGCAAATGAACTCTCGTGGAGGATAAAAAAAAAAGAACACAGTCAATACAACAAAACTAACAGCAAGGATAAGGGGGGGGAGGGGGCTAGACAAAAAAAATCCACAGTATTAACCGGGAAGAATTTAAAAAAAGAGCACAGGTTGATACACAATAAAGGTAATAATCATAACAGTAGCAAATGGGAAATGTCATCATAGATTGTGGCAAATCTGCTTGACTTCAGTTTTTTAAGTGACATGAAATAAAGTTTAAAGTCATTGATGAACCATGTAAAAGATGGTTTTCTATTCCTCCATTTACAACAATGTATATGGTATTTACCTAACAGGATGACAATGTTAATCACAGTAGAGACAAATGGATGTAGTTTAGCCATATAGAAAATAATATCATAAATATTAAACTGGGGAATATCGTTGATCTTGAGGGATAACCAACTGTGTAGTTCTAACCAAAAGGCAGCTGATACAGGACATGAGAAAAACAAATGGTGTAATGTTTCACAGGCTGAATCACAAAATGCACACTGATTAACCTCAAATTTAAACCTCCTCTTCAAAAATTCAAACACAGGATATATATTATTAATTATCTTGAAATGAGTTTCTTTTATTTTTGGGGAGACAGGCCACTGAGTGAATTTTGAGAACGCCTTTTCCATGAGTGACTGGTCCCCATGAAGGGCCTGCAAATATCTACCTGAGTTAAACCCCTGGAAAAGAATAGATTTAAAATTCACACTGATAAATTTATTGTTACATTTACTATCATTTAGAATGCGGTTACCAATTTTTATGTTTGGCAGCGCTGGATTGACCACAGAGAATAGCATTGTGTTGCGTATCAGCTGCCTCAGGGCCAAAGGGATAGCACAGCAAACTTTTCTGTATTCTTTTAATGGACAATTAAAGTCGTGTCTTTTTGAGAAAGACACGTAATCCAATAGAGCACCACTCGAATCCAGCAAGTCAGTTACAAACAAGATACCACTCTCAAACCAGTTCCTGATAAATAATGTCTTTTTGTTAGCAGTTATCACTCTATTGTTCCATAGGATCGACATGTGAGGAGAAAAGTTGTGTATAAACACCATTTTCCAAAAAAGAAGAATCTGTTTGTGAAAATTAGAGAGTGTAACAGGTATTTTACTAGTCTCAAAGTCACATTTTAATAGAAAATCAATTCCTCCTAATTCCCCGGTGTTTACAAGCGGGAAAAAAGTGGGTTTAGAAAAAAAGTCGCACATTCAAAACATATTAAAAATATATGCAGAAATAAAATTACGCATTGTCCATAACATTGATAAAATTGACTTAATCAAACTAACTTTTTTGGGGGTTTTCACACCCTCTTTTATTTTTTTAATCATTTTTATTTGTTGTTGCTCTTTTTCATTATTTTTAAACTAAACAAAATTTACGACACTGAATGTTAATGTGACTTCTAGCATTAGTGAAGTGTATATAAAAGATGAACACATTTCAAGGTCTCATGAGTGAACCTCATGTTCTGCTTTAAATCTACATTCCCTCTCATGTCCAGAAACTTCTCTGCTTTCAAAATGAAGTTATAGTCTCCATCTGTGAAAATGACCTGGAGCATCAGGAAGCACATTCCTAATGAGTTTATGGTTTTTCCTGCTAGTTTCAAATCTTACTAAATACAGAATAATTCTAGGCTTGTGATTTATAGTCAAATAATCAGACCCAGCCAATATACCCCCCCACCCCCCCAATAAATTTCTGAATTATCTTGGATAAAAAGGCTGATGGTTTTCTTTACTCATTTCAGTTATTACCAGCAAAATAGTTGCATGTTTAATCATCTGGGAATTTACCTAGATTTATTTATTTATTTAGACAGAGATCTTGACCCCCCCCCCAGTGTTCAGCACAAAGTTATGCCCATGTTTATAGTCACATTTAGAGTTAGACGATCAAAATGATTTGTTGGAAGACAGAGATGAAGGAATATACTGAAGAGGAGAAGAATGAAAGTCTGTGTGAATGAGAGGGAAGCAGGTGCAGCAGTGAAGATGCAAGGAGTAGAGGTAGCGAAGGTAGATGAATTAAAATCTAGAGCATCTAAAGCGACAGGCAACACGCAGGAGAGGTGAAGAAGAGAGGGTGCAGACAGAGTGGAATTGGTGGAGAGGAGTGACAGAAGGATAACTGTAAGACTGAAAGGGATGGTTTACAAGATGGTAGTGAGATCTGCTACGATGTATGGTTTGGAGATGGTGGCACTAACAAAGAGACACGATGCTGAGCTGAAGATGCTAAGATTTTTGAATGGGAGTGACCAGAATAGACGGGATTAGAAATGAGTACATCAGAGAGACAGCTCAGGTGGAGCTGGAGTTGGAAAGGCAAGGCTGAGATGGTTTGGCTATGTGCAAAGAAGGGATAATAGATATATTAGACAGGGTTTTGAATATGGAGATTCATGGAAGTAGTGAAAGACGACAGGCAGAGGTTGGTGTGACGGAGGAGAATGAGAGGGATATTGTGAGATGGAGGCAGATGATCCACTATGGCAACCCATAAGGAAGCAGCTGAAACATGAACAATGTTTATTTAACATGAAAAATGCTTTTCTTTTTTTTCTTTTTTAAAAAAAAAGAGTAATTGTTAATTAGTATATACGAGCTTTAATTTGCATCCTATTTGCTATATCAAATATTCACACTGATGATGTAGAAGTCTCAAAAACTCAAGTATCAATTCCAATAATCCCATCCGGAGTGTTTTTCACTTCCACTTGCTGGCAGCCTTTGAGCCCTTGAAACAACTTGGTTGAGATATGGAAAAGATCGTGGACAGGCCTGTTAGCACAGCAACCCTGCTACTTACAAATGATGCACTGAGATGATGATCACTCTCACTTATATCATGATGCAGTGCGTCACAGCACACAGGCCAAATGAAACCCTGTGTTTAATTAAATTAGCCACGCCAGCAGCTTTGACAAAGCATAACTAATTGACGCCGCAGGGATTGGAACATGTTGATGATAACACTAGCCACATAGAAGAAGAGTTTTTTTGAAAGTATTTTTGAATTTGTTTTGTTCAGTTTTTTGGGGTTCCAGATATTTTAAAACATTTTTTTATATATGTGTATCTCTAATGTTGTAGGGACAAACATTCACAGTCATGCAGTGGAGATCTGTTTCCTTTTCTTGGGACAAAAAAAAGTCCTTGCACTATTTTGCATCACACTTTACATTGAAGGTGTGGGTTGTGGTCAGGAAATGATTTAAGGATTAAGAAAGTCAGTTCCAGTTACAGCTGCCTGGGAAATCCACTCTTCAGTACTCTGACCTTTCATCACCATATCTTACATTTTCCTCAAGCCATTTCATTTACATTAACAGATATATCCTCCCATTACATCAGCTACTTCAGTGACAATGAAACAAAAAAAGAATTGCGGTCCTGAACAATATCAAAACAGTTTCCTTCCTTGCCTTTTGCCTCATCCTCTCCATCTGAGCCATTCAGCGCTGGACTTTGTTCCTCGCAAAGGGAAACTCTATCTGATACGATCATGGGAAATCCTGCTTTGAGCCTTTGGACGCCTGACAAACAGCATTTGTTTAAGCATTTAATGATGCAGCAGGGATACACGGGGCAGTGCAAGAAGCTATAAAAGGTCTTGTGCACTACTTTGTCTCTGGCGGAGAGCTTCTAGACCTACTCCTTTTATGGTAGCTAACCTTCCCTCTGGTCCGAAAGCAGACCCTTAGTCAGTTTCCTTTGTTTGTTGACTGGTCAACCAAATCCTTCCCCTCTAAAAGACGAGATGAAACAAAGGGTGGCTTTCATATGGAATCGTATGTAGAATTTCTATAAGTTTTCTTAATGTGCACTACATAGAGTTGCTTCATTTTCTCTCATCAGTCAACAGACACTGTAGATTCCACTTTTTTATATGAAAAAAAAACTCCACTTGCTACCATTTGTCTTCAACTCAGAGCTGTAAGCTGCCTCCTCAGAACTGTTCAGCTAAAATGAACATACGATGTCAAAAAGGACATAAAAAGGTCATGCAGGGACATGGGGGTGGGGCTTGCACAGGATGAACTGGAGACACTAAGACAAACATTTGAGGATCCACAGATATCCAATCTGGAGCTTCACACCTGCTGGGACATTTCCACCCATTAAAGAAACTCCCACAGAATAACCTTTAACTCCATTGTGTGGGTGATATGGATACTATATGCATCTATTCACAGATCTATGTGAACTATCATGAATATCATGTTAATTCTACACTGCCAAAACAAATGAGAAATCAGTGAAAATACTGATGTGGCAGTAAGGATGGACTCAACCACACTTCAACGCTTTTCATCATCTTTATTTATAGTTGCTTGTTCCTTACACTCACGGCTGCAGCTTTCCAGCTGCCAGCCGAACACACACCACCACCAACAACAACGCCATTCAGGACCCAGTTCACTCTTACAAGCAGGGGAGGCATGATGAGCTAATGCAGCTCAGATGTGTCAGCGTCTCCCGCTGCCACACCACGAACCACGCCCCCCAGCTGACTTCATAAATATAACCGTATCACAGACAGGAGAGCTCTAATTTGTCTTAATATGTCATGTACTGGTACATAACAAAAGTATATAGTTGAAGGGAAAGTTGGACAGGACAAAAGTAATCAATGGAGGAACGGCCTACCTCTGAATCTCCTGTAAAAAATATGTATACAACTGCCAGCCACTTCTTTAGGTACGCCTGTTCAACAGCTTGTTAATGCAAATATCCAATCAGCCAGTCACATGATAGCAGAACAACAGTTGTCTCAAGGTGTTTTATATTGTAAGGGAAAGTAAAGAGAAAACTCCAACAATTCAGAC